TCCAGTTGGTTTCCAATGTCCTCCCAAAAGTGGTTTTTTATTTTATTTTCTGCACTTGATGTTTAGACTTTGTCCATACCCTCAGGAAATATTTAACGGTCAAATCTTCTTTGTACACAATATCGTACCATTTTCACATGTGACACATTCTTGCATTGTTGGTGTACACCTAAGCATGTTTATTACCAAAGCTGACTGAGTTGTGAAAGACTGTCTTAAATATTCTGAAGTTGAATGCTCTAAAGTTTGAGACTAGTCAATTCCTGAAAAAAAAAACTTGCCTAGAAATACATACTGGTATAGAATTGACAGCAGAGAAAATGTATATTAAGTAGGGTCCTTGTCTTATGACCCCAATTGAGCCTGGAATTTTGATCATAAGTCACTGCAATTCTAAGTGGGGTCATCGTGTGACTGCGTTCAATTTTATGACAGTTAAGTGATTCATATGGTCGTACGTCCTAATCCAATTTATCAAATGAGCTTTTTTTCCAGAAAATGGCAAAAAAAGGTCACAAATTGCAATCACATGATCGTAGTATACTGCAACTAGTCGTAAATGTGAGCTGGTTGCCAAACACTCAAAATGCAATTATGTAACCATGGGACTGATGAGACAGTCATAATTTCAGGAATGGCTTGTAAGTAATTTTTTTTTTTGTTCATCTTAACTTGGAACAGTGGTTAAACGAGCGGCCGTAACCTGCACAAATAAAAGAAACAACCAAGCACAGGCAACCCTCAACTTACAACAGTTCATTTAGTGACCATTCAAAGTTACAACAGCACTGACAAAAGTGACTTATGACCATTTTTCACACGACCGTTGCAACATTCCCATGGTCACCTGATCAAAATTTCAGATGTTTAGCAGCTAATTCATATTTATGATGGTTGTTGTGTCCTGCGGTCATGTGATCACCTTTTGCCACCTTCCGGCAAGCAAAGTCAACGGGGAAGCCATGTTCATTTAACAACCATGTTACTAATTTAACAATTGCAGTGATTCACTTAACAAAAGTGGCAAGAAAGGTTGTAAAATGGGACAAAAATTCATTTAACAAGTGTCTCGTTTAGCAACAGAAATTTTGGGCTCACTTGTAGTTATAAGCCGAGGACTACCTGTAAGTAAAAATTCATATGTTACAACTCATATAGATAAGTTTAGAAAGAATGTACTTAAGGATCTTTATCTTTTGGGGTTTGTTTTTACATATAGTAAAATATAACTTTATAACATATAAATAAGCTTAAGTTTTTCTTTCTGCAGTGATTAGTTGTAGGGGAAAAAAACTAGCAGGGGGAGTTTTTTCCTGAACTGGTGTGCAAAGGGGGAGAATCTGATTACAATTGTGCTTGAAGAAGCAAGGCGTAATTGTGTACCGCTGTGCCAACGACCAATTGAGTTTTATTTTGCTATTTAATTAAAAGAAGCACTTAACATTTTTATACAGTGGTGAGATTCATTGTTGAGCAAGGTTGTGTTACACATATAGATGCAACCAGAATTGTCTGTTTTTGTATTTTTTTTCTATTTTGGATGGAGACTGAATGTAGGGATTTTATTTTTAAATCTAAGTTAAGTTATTATTGCAAATGGATTATGAATTAATTTTTCTAAATTGTGGGAAACTGTGTGGGAAGGAGATCTGGGGAGGATATAAAATAGATTTGAGAGCTGAATGCCTACCCCTGAATTAACCCAAGACAGTGATGCCTAGTTTGCCTTTAGAATAGATATTGTTGAGTTCATTTCAAACGTCAGCTGTAATTTAACAAGTCTATAGGAACACTTATACCTTTTTCTTTGTCAATGACTTACTTTTAAAGACTTATAGTACTAAATGTGCTGGATAGAATTGGCTATCTGAGGCAGGACATTTTCTACCCAGTGAGAGTAGAATTTATTGAAGAGAACTTAAACAGATCTAGAGCCAAAACTTTATTAGATTTGCCTCTTCATTTTAAGAATCTTTGATGTGTTTTTAGAGAAGAAAAATCTATCCAAGGTAGTTTTAAAAAAATAATTTATCTAGTATAAATCCTTCAGGTTTTCTGAGGGACCATCTCTTGCTGCTCATATCCACACAACCCACTGGAGCGGGGAGACAGGAATGTTGTGTCTCCCATCCCCTAAGGAGGTACATCTAGTAGGACCTACTAATAAGGGCCTTCTCCATAGTGCAGTGGTTCTCAACCTTTTTAATGCCGTGACCCCAACTGGTCGTAAGTCGAGGACTAAACTGGCTGTAAGTCGAGGACTAAACCGGCCGTAAGTCGAGGACTACCCAACCGGTTGTAAGTCGAGGACTTTCCCTGCCCGGGAGCGCCGCGCATGCGTGGCTCCGCCCCTGCGCCAGCCGAGGCGTAGCTGGCAAGCAGCAGAGACGGAGCAGGCCGACCACCAGCTGGCCCAGCTCAAGGGAGGTAAGGCACCTGCCGGAAAAGGGAAAAAAATGGCGGACAAAAAAATGGCGGACAGCCTTGCTTGGCGACCCCCGTGAAATGGTCGATCGACCCCAAATGGGGTCCCGACCCACAGGTTGAGAACCACTGCCATAGTGGCTCCCTCCCTCTGAAACAGTATTGCTCCAGAAATTAGACTGGTCCCCACATTGACACTCTTTCATAAGGCACTGAAGATGTGGTTTTGTCAGTGGGCCTGGGGAGCCCACAGTGAGATGGAGCCATTAAAATGGTTGATTTGAGTGTGTGTTGTCGCCGAGGGGGGTGGGTTTTTTTATTTTATTTTTATTTTATTATTTTTACTTTTCATTTTTACTTTCTCTACATTGTGTTTTTATTATCTGTAAGCCGTCTACTTGCTGTGAGCGAGTAGGCAGCTATATAAAATATCTAAATAAAATAAATAAAATAAATTTTATTTTAACTTGCACATATTTTAATCTTGTATTTTATATTTTAAGTTTTATATCATATAGTATACCTTATTTTAATCATAATGCTTCTGACATGAATAAACAAACATTTACAGTCTTTGGGTTAGATCCAAGCTTAGTTATATTTGGAAGAAGAAATGGATTTTGTGTTGATCATGATCCACTAAAGTCTCTTTCATTTGCACTTACTCTCATCCTGATTCTGGAATATAAATTTCAAGTTTGTCAAGATGAAGATTCTATAGAAATGTAAAATATTCCAATTGTTCTCATTATTATTATGCTTGATTATTATGGCTTTGAAGTAATAATCAGTATTATCCATATATTGCAAGGTGAAGTTAGTGGATAAAAACTGTGGTCGAAACAAGCTTCTTATAAGCTTAAGATGTGACTCAGAAATTTCAGCCCATGATTTTTACTATACTGTTTCATGACAGCACAGGTAATTTTGGTGCGGCCTTCTAAGTCCCTGTCTACCACTGATGATTAAAAAAAATGTACAGACCTAAAATTCCCATTGTCTAGCTTTGACCCTAGAACTACATTTAAAGTCAAAATAAAACCAGTTTGGGTGACCCAAATCCCCTTTGGCATGGTGACAATCCTAAAGTGGGAGTGGCATGTATCTAAACTGTAAAGGAAATTTCCACTGGTAATGATCCAAAAGCCTGGTATAGTATTACCAATCTCAGCCTTGCTCATTGGTATGTAGTGATTTCACAAGGAATAGATTGCAACATTGCTTTACAGTAAAACTCTGAGCCTTTGACAGTTTTCTGCATTAGATCCAGAGGGGCCGTAATGAAATCCTACTTTTCTCAATGCTTCTTTAAATAATGTGTGATGCTTTCTAACAGGCCAGGTTCTGTTGTTAGTGTGTAGGTGGTAGAGTGTTCCTGCTGTACTTGGGTTAGGCATGTTGCAATGTAAAAAATCCTTAAGAGGTCTAAATAAAGAGGTTCAGTCTAAATAAAACCTTTTGAACAAAATAAATGACATAGCTTGTTGTTTTAGATAGATAGATAGATAGATAGATAGATAGATAGATAGATAGATAGATAGATAGATAGATAGATAGATAGATAGATAGATAGATAGATAGATAGATAGATAGATAGAATCACATTCCTCTTCCTTATTCTTTTCTTTTTATGTGTCCCGATTTCTAGACATTTATTACAAACATAAGTTTCCAAGTCAGGCTTTTTTTCTGTTTTTTTCCAAAGGATTCTAAATACTGGCATATTAACATCTCTTAGATTAGATTAGATTAGATTAGATAACCTTTATTGTCATTTTTTCCTGTGGGCACAACGGCACATATTAAAAATGAAATTTAGTTGCTTGCTCTCAAAGTGTACACATACATAACACACATTTAAACATCCTATATACAACATATGTATAGACCTAGATCCTTACATATAAGTAACATATAAATATTAATCACTGTCCATCTTGAATACATAACGGAAGGAGAAAATTTTAGAATTCACAAGGTTAATACTATATGGAACAAAGCTGTGACTGAATCTGGATGTTCTGCTTCGGATACCACGGAGCCTTCTCTCAAAAGGTAACCAGGAAAACAGGTCATGAAGAGGATGTGTTGTGTCCCAGACAATCTTTAGGACCCTGATCAAGCAACGCCTTATGTGCTATGTCCTGGATGGAAGGGAGGGAACTGCCAATGATCTTTTCAGCCATCCTCACCACTCTCTGCACCATCTTTCTGTCTGAAGCAGTGATGCTTCTAAACCTGACTGTGATGCTGTATGACAGGATGCTCTCGATCTTAAGGATGAAGTTAAAATGAAAGAGGTGTTTTTTTTTATTGCAATGAGTTAAACCATCTCAGAATAGTGGTAATCGGGAGAATAGGGAGTTTATTTTGGTACAACAGAAGCCAGGTATTACGACCAATGTGTCACATACAGTAGTTTATATAACACGTTCAAGCCTCAATTCTTCTTTTTTGTTTCCACTTTGGACAGGTTGAATTCGGATTCCTGAGGAAACAGAAGTATCTTCCCTGCCAGTTAACCCTCAATATCCTCATGCAAATCCTTTTCCTCACCCTCTTCCGTCTAAACTGAGGACGTGGATTCCATCCCAGCTCGAGCTTTTGCTTTCCAATTTCAGAAGAAGATGGGCTCATTCCGAAAGCCCCGGCCACGTTTCATGAGCTCCCCGGTGCTGAGCGATTTGCCACGATTCCTGGCAGCTCGGCAATCTCTGCAGTTCAGATCTAACTCTGCCTGGAACAGGTGAGAAACATCCTATCAGTGTATATCTGATGTCTTGAGACTTGGATTTAGAGGGGGAAAAGTTGCTTCAGAGTGTGCAGGGACTCTCACATGGCATCTATCAATAGTTCCTTAAAGCAGTGAGGTGTCTTTCAGGGATGGTGTGGTTGTCCTTTGTAGCTGCAGCAGATCCTGGGAAAAGATGCATTTAGGATAAGGAATTGTCCACAGGGATTATGTGTGCACTCAATAAAACATTTTCCCTTTGTACCCAAAGCACTGGAGAGCCCTATTATGCCTTATAATACTTTTCTTCCAGCATTACTGGATTTCTCCATGTATTTGAATTCACAAACTATCTGTGCAATTGTGTGGATATCTCATTAATTGTACGTATCTTGTGGGAGTAGAACATTTTTCTGCTTTGGTGTGCAAAGGAAAATAGTTTGGATTAAATCTGGTTTAAACTTTTCTCAAATGCCTCAAGCGAATGAGTGAGTAAACTTGAGTAATTTGTCTGTTTTTGTGAGATACAATGTTGTGAGAATTTAATAATATCCTGGCAGGGATTTTTTCACACTAGAGAGATTTCTGTGTTAGGTGTGTCTAGGTGATTTTAAAGTGTGGTTACAAAAAATGTCTTGGAGTATTTATTTCAAGATGATTTGATGACTACAGTTAATTCTACTTTTATTGCTTGGTTAACCTGTCATGTTATAGTTTAAAGTTCTGCTAAGAAGAAAAAGTTCTGAACATAGTTTGTTGATTCAGATGTAGTGGTTATGAAAGTAGTGGTTTAGAGAGAAAAAAGTGAGCTCCCTCAAGGGCATTTGTCATAGTATCAAATAGTGATTCTATGCTGTACAAGTAGTCCTCTACTTACGACCTCAATTGGGTCCAGAATCTTAGTCATTAAATGAAATGGTCATTAAGCAAGATGACATTTCACTCAATAACCCCAAACTTAACTCTCCCAGTTGTAGTTGTTAAGCATATGTGCAAGTTGTTAAGTAGCATGCTGGGGAGAGGGCCTGGGCCTCCCACTACACTGGGAGACCCAGGCCCTCTCTCTGTCCTACCATGCCCAGGTCCATTTACTTTTTGCATTCTGCAGCTACTGATTATTGAGGCCACTTGCACCATCCTACAAACGGGCCCCATTCTTGTGATGGTTCAGAAGGCTCCTTCTACAAATTGCACAGTTTGGAGAAGGGGCCTTCCAAATGACCATGAGAACAATGGCATTTGCTGGCATTTTTTTTGCCAGATTTGAGATCTGTTCCTCCAGTGCATGCGTGGATTTTCCCTCCCCCTATAGAGGGAAGGGGAAAGCCCTTGGTGCACTGGGGGAACAAACCTCAAATTCTCCATCCCCTTTGCTTATCGTTCCCTGCTGGCTTTCCCATTGACTTTCTGGGGAAGCCAACAGAGAAGATTGCAAATTATAATCACATGACGGCAGGACAGTTGACATATGTTTGTAAATGCGAACAGATTACCAAAAGCCTGAAATGCAATAACGTGGCTGCAGGGAGGGGGATTGCCAACCCACTGTAAATGCAGTTATTAAATTATCCTAAGTTGAGGACTACCTCTATGTGAATTATCATGAAATCAGTAACTAGAAACACAGCCTATTTAAATGCCTGCAGTTAATGGTGCAGAGAGCATTTACAAATTGCTGCAGACAGCAGTGATTGATTCTGCTTTCATCTCCTCCTCAAATCCACATGGTCCTACCTGAGGACTGTGATTGGCTTGAAAGTGGATAGTTTGTACAAGTATATTTATATATAACTGTATTAGTGAAAGAACTTATTTTCTTGAATTCTGTTATCTTAGTAAACATTTTTTTCATGTTTCATGGGGGGGGGGACCCTGGATTAATTCAGAGACTGTTCCATAGTGATTTAGCCGTGCAGTCCTACAGAGACAAGTTTTTGCATCTTGTGAAACATACACAACACTCTGTCTGTCTCTTCTTTTTTTTCTTTTATAAGAAAGTATTCTTTTGCGGTATGCAGTGAAGCACACTGTGTTTAATCTCTGGCCTTCGTGTATGCCTGGAGAAGTTAGAATACACAACAGCCAAAACTTCCCGAGTGATTTTTGTTTCCAAAGGAGATGATGCAAAAGTCAAGGCAGTGCTCTGAATAAGAGCTGCACAAGGGCAGAAAGAAACAGTGGTGTACTTAATTTTGGCTAGCACCTGCCTATATTAGTCTCTTGATATCTGTACAATTATATTTCTCTCCACAGCCATGGGCAAAGGAGCCTAATGATCCCATGGGAGGGTGGGGGTGGAATGCAGAAGTCATTTAAGAGCAATTAATCTTCTCCTCTACTCACCAGATATATTTACACAGTTCTTGACTGCAGTTTCATTGCTTTGTGTAAATCAGGCTATGACATTCATTATTTATGACTCCCCTAACCTTCTCCTTCTGTTTGGCAGTGTTCAAACAGCAGTGATCAATGTGTTCAAAGGGGGAAGCTTGCAAAACAATGAACTCTACATCCTCAATGAAAATGTCAGGTACGTGGCTTTAACTGAACTGGATTCTACAGCCTTCCCAAGTTGGGGCAAATGTAATGGTGAGAGCTTTGTGCCTTGGCAGTAGCTGGTGCCTTGGATTCCTAATATGCTTCTTTTATTGGCATAGTAAAGGAGACTGAACCATGGACTCTTTTTATGATGCTAGAGCAGTGCAGAAACTCATAAGAAGAATGGAAAAAAAAGGTCATATATCAATGATTTCACATGGGAAACAGGAAAATGAATTTAGGTCCTTCTTCCTCTTGTTACCAGATGATTTCTTGCAGTAGTAGTAGTAGTAGTAGTAATGGATGGTTGAAATCAGAATTTGGCCCGGCTCTTCCTCCAGCAAATTCTTTATATGCCACAATCATAGTTAAGAAGTGGCTATCAAAAAGGGTATCTTTTCAAACTTCCTTCTGCCATCATAATATGAAAGGAACTTCAAGACTGGGAAACTGTCACCTGTAAGAATGGCTTATTGGTGGTTGGCTGTGTTGTTGTTGATGTGGTAGATACATGTGCTTCATATTTTTAGTGTACAGAGCAATGATGCTATGTGGTGGAGCTAGAGATTTTTTTTCTCTTGAATTTTTGCAAAAGTTTGAGGGGTTTTCTTTCCCTATCATTGTTCTTCTGCAATAATATATATGTGGTCAGAAAGGAGTAAATTTGGACTTTCTGGAGCAAAGATTTAATTAAGGATGAGAAAGGTTCTTCTATTTGATCTCTGCTTTGCTGCTTTGTAAGTTGATATTCTAAAGAAGTGGCATCATAGAAACTGGCCTTGAATATTTCCTCCTCAGACAGGTTTCTGTCTCTATGCCCCTGCTTTTTCTTTTAAAAAAAGTTGTGAGGTGTTACAACTTTTGCAGTGATGCCTCTGCTTCGATGGTTGGTGTTTTTGGAAATGGGATGCAGTAGGCCTGCTCTTCGAAATCTGAATAGAATCATATTTAGGTACTCAATTTGTGTGTATGAAAGAGAAGATGTGAAAAAGAATGTGTGTCAGAGAGATCACTATGCAGTAGGTGTTAGAATATTGCTAGATTTCAATGTTCAGTTGGGAATATCTTTGTGAGTCCCAGAAGTTTGGATAATGATGAAAACAGGCATGCAATGATCATGCAATGAATTTATTTGAACAGTCTGGTCAGATATACGAGCATAAAAAAGATTAATGTCTTGATGGAGCCTGTTTGGTGTAGTGGTTAAGACGCCAGATTAGAAACCAGGAGACCATGAGTTCTTCAAACCTTAAGCACAAAGCCAGCTGGGTGACCTTGAGCAACTCATTCTCTCTCAGCCCTAGGAAAGAGGTAATGGCAAGCCACTTTTTGAAAACCTTGCCAAGAATACTGCAGGGACTTGTCCAAGTAGTCGTCAAGAGTCATCAATGACTTTAAGGCACCAAAAAAACAAAATACAAATACAAAGGCATGGCAATAGGTAAGAGTTTTCTCTAGGAAATGGACACAAATGTCAGTTTGATTATAGCTTCAAATTTGATAATCATATAGAATGATCTCCTTTTTCTTCCTTTTTCACTTCATGGCCTTTTATCCTTCAACTCCATGAATTTCTTTAAACATTGTCCATGCCTAAAATGTTTTGACAAAAGATTATCAGTATCCTCCATGCTTCTGATTGATATGTACTCAGTGAGTTAATTAAGAACAGAGCTCTGACATTTTCTCCAGTAGCACAGATTTATGTGACTGATTTGAAAACATCTGTTTAAAGCCTGCAGTTTTGGCCATACAATCTTGCTTTGAAAACAGGATGAACCCTTCATAAAGTTTTCTGCTTTTGTATCATCTCAGTAAGATATAGTTCTTCATGCTCTGACAAATGGCTTTGTAAGTTTTTTCTGAAATCAGATCACCCCACCCCACCCCCCTTTTCATGCTTATGGATAAAAATCTTACTGCTTTAATGCATACTTTAAATAAGAAGATTGGAAAGGAATGTAGCAATACATTCATTTTGTTCTTTGTAAAGGCAATATTTGTTCCTCCAGCTATGCAACTGCCTTCCATGTATATAAACAAATGCATATAACTAGCTTGCTTGTGTATAACCAGAAGAGGCATAAATTTCAATTGGATCAATCAGCTGTCAACAAAACCACCAATTACACCTATTTTAGCATAATTTCCAGAAGAATAAATGTATTGGTACATCACAGCAAATTTGTGTATTTCATTTTGAAGACAAATGAATTTTGTTATGTGGATTAAAGTTCACTTGATGCATTGACTAAATTGGGCTCCAGGTCACATAATCCTTCATTTAATAAAGCTTACTTTGGAAGGATGCCTGATTAGGTTTGTTCAATGGATGGGTTAATTGCTGGAGTGAGAAAATGAATAGCAAATGTATTGGGAGAATGCCTGGAAGGTTTTGATCATACATAATTTGGGAAGGAATTGGTGGTTTTATTTTACATTTCAGAGCATAAGCTCAGAAAGAAAATTTGTTAGTCCAACGAATGGGATAATTTAAAAAAGGAGGAAAGAAATAACATTGGTGAAGAATGGTTGCCCATAATTTGAGAAGCTCTATGGGGTGGAAATTGACAACAGGAATTCAGAATTCGTACAAATCTCATGTATTGAATTAATGTTGGTACTATAAATTACTGGGTGCAGCAAGAAGAAAAGTGATGTCAGAACAGACTCTCAGCTTCATGACACATTGTAATGGGGAGGTTGTGTCGTAGTAGTAATGTACACTACTGCAAAATAATTTTTTAAATTATTATTTTGAAATCATAGGTGGGGTTTATTTGAAAGTTCCATGGGTTTTGGTTCATCCTCAGCTTTAATTTCAGGTATTCAAAATTAGTTATACCTCAATTCTGCTTGAAAATATTCAGATTTAAAAAGCAATATTATAGTGATTTACTTATTGAAATTGGAATTGCATAATGTTTGTCATTGATCAGAAAATGACAAGGGTTTTCTGTACTTGAATATTGCTGAAAATATTTCTCTTCTAGCATGGTGACTGAACTTTGTCTTACAGAATTTTGCAAGGTTTGAAATGGTTTCCTCGTGATTATTAGGCATTAAATGTGTGTGGGATGGGACATCAAAGCATTACAAGTTAAGCTGTCTGGAAAGAGTAGAAACCTTGGTTTTGCTTTGCTTTCCGGCCCACTCAAAAATATCTAGGCCAAGTCAGGTCTTACCTTCTTTAGAAATTCAACTTGTTCTTGCTTGACGGGAATTAATGAAGACTAAGGTCTTTTGCTATAAACTTTGTCTCATACAAAGTTGTATTTCTAATCCAGACAGTTAACGTGCTACAAGGAATGCATTGTCAGAATGTGATTCTAAATGATTCATGCAAGTGGGATAAACCAGATTAAAAACAAATGAAGCCAGCTTTGGTTAAATCTAATGTTATACCAGCTACAGTAACAGTTTGGTGTTCCACCAACTTAGGACTCTTTGTCTGCTATCAGATGTATCATGGGTAAGCATGAAAGAAATACAATTACTCAATACATAAGAGCCTCAAAGTATCTTATTAGTCACCTATGTATTGTAGAGTTCAGTAAATATCTATTTTTATTACTATTTTCTGGAAGTGTTTTCATGATAAGTGATCCATTTCTTTCCAGGCAATTGTTGAAGAGTGAGCTTGGATCCTTCATCACAGACTATTTTCAGGTAACATTTAGTCCTTAAGTGGATAGATGAAAGAATGAAATTGGACTATCTTTTGGTTCAGTCTTTATGCTGGCTTTCTTTTTTCTTGTCCTTTTTAAGCAGCTGCAAGTTCTTAGATTTTGAGTAGAAAGCTGGAAAGTGTTTTGAACAACATAGCATGATAACAAAGGGTAAAACAACATTGGACAACCTTATTCGCAAAACTGCAAATTGATAAAGTCAGTATTTCTTTTTTAAAATTATAGGATTGTATTACATAAAAACACTCCATTTAAGTGGATAATACTATGAGGATGATTCTTTTTCTTTAGAAACTCTTGAACAATTGGAAAGTGGGTTTCAGAAAAAGGGTCATAACTAGGGAATTTTCTCTGTTTTTAGCCTCAAAATCCTTCATGGGTGTATGTGTTGCTTAAGTTACAATGTTCACAACTAACATTTCTCTTCTCCACATTCCCCTCATCATTCTCATTGCAAAACCTATAAGTGGAAAGGTACTTCAATGCCTTATGAACATTTTGGGATAAATAATATACCCAATATCATTTTAGATAATGTCTGGATAATTAATCCAAGATTACCAGGTTTCTCTAGAAGACTCTGGAGCACCCTTAAACATTATAAAATTAAAAAAGAATAAAGAGATTTGATAATAAGGCATCATGAAGAAGTTTCCACAATCAGTCTTTGAAGATATTCCACCTTTCCATAAATACCTAACTGATGGCTTAATACTTCCTAATCAGAAATACTTTATGTTGTCTCTTGTACCATAGGGTTAATGTATTTCTTCATATTGATTTAAGATCACTTCAGTGGTCACTGAGAAGAGACCATCCTTGAGAACAGCTTCTTTTGATGAGTTTTCCTCCCTAGGAATTCATGCTATGATGCTTAGCCTTCCCCACCTTTTCGGAAAAAGCTACCTAAGCAATGACATAACATATGCAGTGCAAATTCCCATTCTTGGCAATTAAATGTGGAATGCATGTTAGATAAGCTGTCAACCCACATAGTTCCAGCATGCTTTAAAATATGTTGTGGTTGTGGCTTTGAGACAGTGAGCAGAAATCTCATTTATTAAGCCTTTCAGGGAATGTAGCATTGCTTTTTGAAATCTGAATAGTCTGCAGAGCAACAATAATTCAAACACTGGAGGTGAGGAAATGCATGAGTCAGAGTGAAATTATTATGTACCTTTTAACTGATAAACAGCCCTTAAAGATGTTATATTTAACCACAGAAAAAGTTTGGGTCTTGTTATCTGTAAGAGTCCAAAAAAATGTGTGCACAAATTCATGGCTGTAGAAAACAGCTTCGTTAGTAAAAATGAAACTTCTGAAACCAAAATATGAATAGGATGTTTCTTTCGCCCACCTCTATATTGGGAACTTGTTAGATTTCCCAGAAGTAGCCATAAGGATTTCTAAAAAGGCAGACAAACTTATAATTTATTCTTTATCCTCAATTTCAGAGTACACTATTAAAATGCATTTCTTGTAACAGCAATAATCTATAAAATACTGGCTCAAAGGTTATATTTATATAGTTTGTACAATATATACATAAACAATTGGCACAAAGTTTTCACACACACATACACACACACACACACTGAATTTCACTGTATTTTATTCTTGTTTGAGGAATAGAAAAAACCCTATAAAATTCATAAACTTACCCAAGCCTAATTCTTGTTAAATATGAAATAAAAATAACTGCAGATTGTAATTCCAGGCAATATCTTGTAGCGTGCCATTTTGTAGTACAGATTTAAACCAGTCCTATTCAGGTCAGGTGAATGTCATGATAGCAAATTAATAAATGAATGTTTTAGTAGATTGATTAGTGAGAGACAACTTTAACTGGCAAGATTGTGGGTTACAAGCACTTGATTTTGGTGCTGATAATGGCATTTAAGGGGTAAGAAAAAACTTGTTGGTGTAATTTAGGCTCTGCTTACTTCTAGATTTTTTTTAAAAAAATAAGTCACCTAAAACAATAGTAGGATAGACATTGAACAATAAATCAACACTATTGAAAATCATGGTTTATGATGAATGGCATGCTGGTGAATTTCAACTTATTCACTCCTTCTACTAGCTTGAATTGTTAAATAAATCTGGAATGATTTATTGGCACATCAATTGGACTAGAGATGTTTGTCTGTTGGTCTCCATACAAGCCATAATTTGTAAATGAGAAAGGAATCCTGGCTTACAATTCTGGCTTGTAAGCAGTGAAATAAAGCCAACATTTCTGATGCAGAAATGTGCTGAAGGGATGGGATTTGTTTGACCTCTTGTATTAATTGGGAGGAATAAAACATAACTAATGAGCAAGGTATATCAGCAGCTCATTTACAGTGAAGATTCTCCAAAATTCTGGTTATCATTCTATGTGAAAATGGCTAATGTTTAGAAATATTATTAGTTCTTTTTTGAGCATAAAAAGAATGGAAATGGGTCAATAGAGCTAGGCTGAAGTTTGAGCTCATTCAGAACATCAACCCTAATATTTTCTTCTACACCCTTCTGGGAACAAAGAGTACAAAACCCAGATCTTACACAGATATAATAGGTCTAATGAAAAGATAATACAACCTCAGATAGCAGTAAATTGACTGAAATTGTGGAATATTAGGCAATGTGAAATGATGTAATAAGTAAACCATGGTATATGGCTATAAGTATAAGTATAAGTTTGAAGCTTTTGCAGATAAAGGAAAAAGAATGTACCATAAGTTTGGAGTTGCAGCCATCATAGTTTATTTAAAATTACTGGTTCATGGTTTGATTTTGGCTCATAATAACCAAATATAAGATAGATAAGATAAGACAACCTTTATTGTCATTTTACTGTGGGCACAATGGCACACATCAAAAATGAAATTTAGTTGCCCGCTCTCAAAGTGAAACACATACATGACACACACCTAAAATATACTATGTACAACATATGTATAGACCCACACCCCTACATATACAAAGCAAATAAATATTAAATATTGTCCATCTTGAATATATAATGGACCCATACCAGTCGGGCTTCAGGCCGGGACACAGCACGGAAACGGCATTGGTCACGTTGGTGAATGATCTCTGGAGGGCCCGGGACAGGGGTTATTCCTCTGTCCTTGTACTTTTGGACCTCTCAGCGGCTTTTGATACCGTGGACCACGGTATCATGCTGCGGCGTCTCGGTGAGTTAGGAGTGGGAGGCACTGTTATGCAGTGGTTCTCCTCCTTCCTCACCGACCGTACGCAGTCTGTATTGGCAGGGGGACAGA